TTAAATGCAGCGATCAATTTTGAGTTCTGTAGTTTATTGTTGCCTATCGCATTTACTCCTCCTTACTTATTGTGATGAAGGCCTAATCAAGAGCCCTCTACAGGAGCTATCTTAAATGCCACCCAATAGGGCGGCTTTTAAACTACTTTTTTTAATAAAAGAAAAATTAAAAGTTAAGTAATAAAATACTTTAAAAATAAAGATAAAAATGATAACAATAAAGAAAAAGTTAGATTATAAAAAAATAGTTAAATAAATGTAGAATCCTCTTATGATGTACAGAAACAGGCGTTCTGCCGCTAATTTAAACCAAAGACAAATTCTCTCTATCTATTCGGGGACAGCTTTCTTATCTGGCCACCAACAGATAAGCACAAACTTTATATATATATATATATATATATATATATATATATATATATATATATATATTCTTGTTGTGGCGTCCTCTCTCTAAAGAGTCTATGTGGGACTCTTCCGCCTACTATAAGATTAGTAGGTGAGAAGGCCTTGGGGGAACAGTCGCATAGATTGTTCAACAGTCGAACTCTCTGCCTCGGCAGAGAGGAACTCGGACGAAGCTTTGCCGAAGGGCAAACTTTCGTCCGGGGAGGTAGACAGACCCTGAACCCGTTTATGCGGGTTCTAAGGGAATATTTTTGGCCGAGCTTACGGACTCGGAGAACCTACGGTAAATTCGGCCTTGTGCCAAATACATCCCTCGTGGGGTGGCTGTTAAATATAACAGTCGAATAGATCTGTTCTGTGCTGGTCAAACTCTCTGACTTCGAACAGAGAACATCCTCAGACGAGGTTCTGTCAGAGGCAGAGTCTCGTCTCGGGAAACAGCTAGCCGAACCCGTTTTATACGGGGTCTATGTGGAATTTTTGGCCGAGCCTACGGACTCGGATTGCCCCACATTAAACTCGGCCTTGTGCTACATTTTACCTCGTAGGGAGGCTGGTTGATATAACAGACATAATCTGAAACCCTTGTTTTGTTGTTTCTTTAACCATTTACTTCGTCATAAAAAACAGATAATTTACTTAAATAAATTGTATCTATTTAAATAACGTATAAACAGAAAATATATTAAATAATTGTCGGACTTAATCCAATCCATTTCATTATATATATATATATATATATATATATATATATATATATATATATATATATATATATGAAAGTAGTACATCCAGACAAATCGATCCATCACCACAGAACAGTTTTATTTATAAATTTCTGGTTTATTTAAATAAAACCATCGTCTGATCTAAAATTGATGATGACCTTAGAATTTAGATCACAGCATTAAAATAAAATGAGGTAAATAATGTATAGACAGAAGCAAGCAATGATAACGTTTATTAATATTATGTTATGCTTTCGAAGAAATACAGGCTGTTCGGAAAGTTACTATGCACTTATATTTTTATTGATAGACATGTTTCAGTGTAGAATACAGGTGGGGAATATGAATGAAAATTATAAACAATGTTGTTCAAACCATATTGGGGTGACATCTGAAATATAAAAAAAATATGATTCGAAAAACACACAATAACTTTCCGAATACCTTGTATTATAAACAATAATTTTATAACATAGAGGAAACAAACAACTACCAACATTTTTAAACGAATCAAACAGGTTTAATTAAGGCAATAATTCAAGACTTTTCACCTTATGTAAAAATAATGTTGCTTATGAATTCTGGTGTCCTTTAGGCGATTGTATCTCGAATATTAATAATCAACTAACAGCATTAAATTCTTACATTGGCTACATATGCACCGCACTCTCTCGTAGGTTGACTTGACATTTGTCCAAATTTACTGCAATTCGGGCACATATCGATCAGTTCACCACAAACAACCAAAATACGATTAAAATGCGACATTTATGAAAAATATAAGTTATCCCCCCCCCCCTTGGCGGATAAGATCCTTGATAGCGAGGATGAGTCCATTAATCTGATAATAATGGGTAAGACCTAAATTTAGGCGCCAAATGGATTTGAGGCGTCAAAAGAGAGAGGCCCTGAAGACAACAAAGAACAGGCGATGCTGGCCACGAGCAAACTTAAATTGACTTGATAATGCATCGACAAGCAGACATCGGAAGAAGAGATATGATCAACCTTCAATCAATTCCAAACAGATGCATGTATTAGACTTCGTCCCCGACATTAACCGCTAAAGGAATATGTTTAGCAATTCTCTCTTCTCATTCTCGTTGTATAATGTATTACTTATATAAAACTATGCTTTTTAAACTGTTCCTTTGTCTCGTCTTTTTGTTCCTCTTTTACGACTCATACGAGGAGTCGCTAATTTTCCTATATTTAGGGTTGAAAATGATCCATCACAAGGCCGCGTGAACGTCACTAAGACACAAGGAGCTACTCAATGGGAAAGAATAAGAAAAAAGAGAAACATTATTAAGGAGCGAAAACAATAGAACAGTAATCAAGAATACAGTAGATAACGATTGACATTGCACCTAAATTTGTTTTCTAATCATTTCACCCCATGCAAGGCAGTAAAGCCACTAAGACAGAAGGAATTACTAAGTGTGAAAGAATAACAAAAAAGACAAACATTATTAAGGAGCGAGATCAATAGAAGAGGAACCAAAAAAGACAGTAGATATGAATCGACATTGCATTTAAATTTTTTAAAATCAAAGTTGGCTGGAAATCAAGAAGCTGGAAGAGAGTTTCACAAGCGAGAAGTGCGAGAAAAGAAACTGTTAGCATAGTATTTAAGGAATTACAAATTATTCTCCAGAATCTAAGATTAACAAACCTTAAAAATATTAAAGAATACTTTGTTAATAGCTCTTCATGACAAAGAATCAGAACGTTTTTATATATTTTTTAATTATATTACTCCATGCAAGAGAGTAAAGCCACTAAGGCACACGGGGATACTGAGTGTGAAAGAATAAGTAAAATGAGAAACATTATTAAGGAGACGAGAACAATAGGAGAGTAATCAAGAAGTTTTTTTCTAATCGTTTCACCTCATGTAATCCAGTAAAGCCGCTAAGACTGAGTGTGAAAGAAAAAGAAAAAAAAGAGAAACATTATTGAGGAGCGAGAACAATAGTCGATAAGATTGTCAGAGATGGAGGACACCCCAGGCTTTGCTTTTACGGATTTTGCTGTCTCTCTCCATTGAATGGATGTTGTTGCCGAGGTAAACAAATTCCTGGACGGATATGATGTTGTTGCCGCTTTTTTAACTTAATTTCCCCTTCTTGGTTGTAGGTGATAAATTCTGTTTTGCCAGAATTAATGTAGAGACCAATCTTGCTAGTAGCTTCTTTGATGAGCTGGAGAAGTTTGGTAGCCTTATCAATCGTGTCCGACAACAAGGCAAGGTTGTCTGCGCAATCTACGTCTGTTATTGTTTTTACTGGATGACATAAATTCCCGCGACAAGGTTGAAAAATTCCGTAAGGTTTCTTATACAGCATCATGGCTAATACTGTCTCTTCCGGGATCCCATATGCTAATATGATCTCTTCGAGTTTGCTACGATGGATGGAGTCGAAGGTTTTGGAGAAATCGACAAATGTTGAAGCAGTGTTCAAAGCATGGACGAATGGTAGACTTATAAATATGTAAGATAGATTCTGTCGAGAAAAAAATGTCTAGCACGACAAAGTGAACTAACGTTCCTGGCATCAGATAATTATCATAGGCGTAGAAACAAAGTTGAGAACTGATGACACCAGGAAGGTCGTAGGTCTAAAGATAGAGTCCTGGAGGTCACCCGCATTAATGCAAATGATCTAGAAGAGTGACCATTTAAGACAAATTTCATTTCGCTTTTAGATGACGGATTGAATTAGATAAAAATAGTCCAGAAACATCATAACCTTTCAACTTGAGAAGGAGACCAGCACCTGTCAAATGCCTTCGAGATATTCAAAGCAACAACCCGAGCTCCACTATTCTTATCTTAAGATAATCTTGATAGATTCTTTCAACAAAACACATTTGACACATCAGCAGTTGACCTGGAGGAGCGAAAGCCATATTGCTTGACACAAAGATGACCCTAGGAAGAGTGAATGCTTAATCAGTGCAGAGTTAATTAGATCCTCTAGTACTTTGCCAAAAGTAAGTAGAAGGCTAATAGGCCGGTGGTTAGAAGGATCAGACAGTTCGTCTGAGTTCTTAAAGCCTGGAACTACCAACTACATTGTCTGGACACACAGATGGATCGCAGCAAAATTATACCTTAAGTTATCCATAACAGGACTTGATATGTCATTAACCTTCTACACTATAATACGCAAAGATCTCATCAAATTCCTCGAAAGTTTTCTATGTGGAATCAGAATGGTGCCTTTTATTACTTAGTAATACAATTATGGATAGCAAGATCGAAGGTCGTCAAGCTGAAAAGTTCGTGAGCAACATAGTTATGTGATAAGTGGCATTCATATTTATCTTGAGGACAGTCTCTGAAGAATGAGAAATGGAATCAAGAAGAGCATCCCACATATAGAACATTTCTACTGCCAAATTTGCTAAAACAAACATACCTGAAGAAATGATTTACAAAGATGATAGAGACATTCTGCCAGACAATGGAAGGTGGAAGCAAGTATTTTTGTACTCGACTAAGAAAGTATTTCTGACTAGAAACCTGAAGATATTCCAGGAAAAACAAAACCATTATTGGAGTGAGAGAACAGAAAGACGGAGAAATATCAAGTGATTGGTTGATTCGTTTGTTACGGTTTATCAACCCTTTTTGAGATTATTTAAAGTCAGCAAATATTATTAGATTGTAAGAATTTGTTTTGGAGATAGTAATCGTTTAGCGATACAAGTTTTACTAATTAACCTATAGCTGGAGGAGAAGATGTGTATTCATGCCATCCCCAAGCGTAATTACAACGAAGCCAACGGGAATTGGAACTCGGCTCTTCCATGAATAATTCCGAGCCATTTATCCATTACACCAGCCACACATCGAAGCTTACAGCAGCTGTTAGTTCCAAGCGGTCACCCATCTATGCACTGACCATACTCAACGTTGCTTAACTTCGGTGATCTTACAGGAAGCGGTGTTTCAACGTGATGTCACCGTCAGCTGAAAAGTTAGGAGATGCGGAAGATATTACCAAACATAAACAGTCTGTAATCGCTAGTATGAATATTTGGAAGAAACTTTAAGATAGAACTTTAAGATAGTATTAGCAAATAGATTGGTTTAATTGTTTAACGGCAAATCAACTCCTTTATGGGTCATTTAATCCCGAAATTTAATTTTCTTGTGAGCTCTGAAGTAATAAAAATATATGTTATTCTGCTTTCACGGTTGAGTACATGGTAGATAATACTCAGCTTTTCTGCGCATATATATTTGCGTGGACATGATTACAAGGGGTTAGTGATATGTGTGTTTTATGTTGTAGTTTTGTTGAAGTTATATTTTGGAATACAGTTTGATTTCTTCAAGAAATTGTAGGATATTATATGTCATGGAAGGGTTCTTTCATGTCAGTTGCTTGTTTGAATTCTTAGCGGCATATCAACACCTCTATGGGTTATTTAATGCCGAAATCTAAATATTTTGAACGAAATTGTATGCCTTCAACTACAGATAAAATTGTATTGTTGGTAATTTTACTATAAAATCTATTTTTATACTTTCATAATGTTTTGTTTTTGTTTGGGAGTTCACTATGTGTCCATAGTTGGGACCATTACAGGTGCTACCACCCCGGATGTGGGTGGACCTGGGAACAACTGCAATTAAAAGGTGGTTGCACGCTTCACAAAATTAGAGGTTTTGCTGCCGGATGTAGTTTATCGTCATACCCAGGACTGATTGTCGAAAAGTGTCGATTGAAACTGTACCACGCGATGGTAAAACCAGTATTGTTATGCTATGTAGGGACTGATGTAGGGACTCACAGGGAAGGATGAAGAAAAACTTGATTCATTCCATCGAAAATTGTTATAACTTCTAATTGGCAAAAAATATCCCGAACATCATTTGCAGCTTCAACTTATAGAAAAGATTCTAAATATACACGATATTTCATCTTCGGATTATGAAGGAGATTATTTTGACATGGGTTGTGCAGTCTCCTTCTCATAAGGCTACGCTGGTTTATTTTGACAAGTGTAATGGCAGACACTTTCGCAGAAGAGCGTTAAGAACCTTACACTGAACAACAGTAAAATTTGAAGAGCTTCGAAGATCTGCGACAGTTTTATGAGTTAGTACAAGATGGCGGGGGTGGATTTGATAAGAACTGATAAGAGTTATTGACAAAGTTGCTGATTTTCCGTGTGTCTTTAAGTCGAAACAGTTCCGATGGTGATGATGATAATATCTCACTGGGTATATTTATGATGATGATGATGATATTTCTGGGTATATTTATCGGCCCCAATTCTTGACTGTGACAGTGGGGCGGGTCGATTTTTGGTATTGCCCTCAATTTGAAAGTCGAGGTTTAACATGATAAATAAGGACACGAAATATTTTTTTTTTTAAATCTTTACCGTTTTTTGAGGAAACAATTTTAAAGATTAAGCTTAGGTTCAAAATCGTAACGTTAGAATTTCATTCCGGTGACCAGTGAAAGTCTTATAGCACAATCTTATAAAATTTATAATTTACGGAACCTTTACAAATTGTATATGTTCAAGATGCATGCCATAAGGACATTATTACTAAATCATTGTGCCATCAAATAAGACCTTCATTTACTTCAAAATGAAATTAAACTGAAGAATTTACTTATGATTTAATATGCAGTAGATTTAGCGTGATTTGTAATAATCAATGCAAATTTAAAACATTTTGTCTTATAATTTGTGTTCAGCTGTATTATGGTGTTATAGACACTTTTATCTATTTTTTTGGTTAATTATGACCTAACAAATGGTGGAAGATCATATTTATAGAGTATGCATTTTCGTAATATTTTACAATTTTTACAGACATTTTACTTTTGTTTGTGATGATGCATAACCAGAATGCTGGTTTTAATATATTTCGCAATCAATGTATCTAATATAAAGATATCAACTTTATTTGGATTTTTTCTTGAAATAGTAATATGCAGTCAGTTTGTAAGCAAAAACCTATAGAATATTTCTGTAGATTTCCTCAGATAATCTTAAAAAAATAAATACTCAAAAATAGATAAAAACTATGAATCTAATTTTCAGTGTTAGTTCTTATGACATCAAACCTCAGCTTTCACACTGAGAGCAATGTCGATTTTCTTTAAAAAATGAACAATCAACCCGCCCTACTGTGACAGTCGAAATTACTCGAAAATAACAGACAAAAAAACAAAAACAAAAAAACAACAAAAAAAACCCAAAAAAACAACATAAAACTTGGTCAATTTTATTCCCGACTTCTCATTCGGAAATCGAAAAGATACGAAGGTCATTGAAAAAGTTGTGGGCCTCACCCAGAAAGAGCCATAGCTGAACATATTTGTTGTTGCAACACACTACCACCGCTTATAAAACTAGAAAAACTAATTCAGATTTCTCTCCTAATTTCTGTCTAGGTGAGACCCAAACAAAGGTGAGAGGTGTGCGATTAGTCATAAAGTGACTGCAAAAGAAAGTTATGGCACCCAAGGAAATCCACGAGGACATGCTACAAACACATGCTGAGGACTCCACTTCCTATGCAACTGTGAAGAAATTGGCTGTGAAATTCAAGTGGATGTATAATAATTTTTTTTATTGTTAAGTGTTTATTTCCTTCAAAATACATTTATTGCCAATAAAACCAAACTGGTTACATTCCATCACCGTCGATCAGAACCCAAACTACCGCCAGTCACAAAGAACGGATGCCCGCTCGAAGAGGCCCCGTGCCTTGAGAGGATATTGGACCTCAAACTCACACCCGAACACAAGTAGAATTCCTATATATATATAGATAGATAATATTAGTGGTAAATATACACATACATATGCAATCATATATCTAAAATGTATAAATATATATATATATATATACATACATACATACATACATACATATATATTTGTATAAAAAATAAATCCAAGAGGATATAATCCAGGTAGAACACAATGTCCAGGACAGAGTAAAGATATAATAAACACTAATATTCCATGGTCATAATTTATTCCATTGGAATCGTAAATACGATCCAATTCATCAGACCTACAAAATTGGGCCGTATTTACGATTCCAATGGAATAAATTATGACCCTGGAATATTAGTGTTTAAGACTTTTTATTATTATATATATATATATATATATATAAAGTGTATGTATATAAATATATATATATATATATGTGTGCAGTATATTATATATATTATTTATATATTATGCGCGCGGTACTTATTAGAAAGCGCTCAATATCAGAGATAGAGTTAATATATTTAGTTGGATTGATGTGAGTTTGTGACCTTGGGTTTCACGCGTTTGCGATAGTCAGAGTGAGTTTGTCTTACGATCAAAAAGCGTGAAACCCAGGTCACAAACTCACATCAATCCAACTATATATATATATATATATATATATATACAAGGTTTTGACAAAATAATAGAAACACCTATAATCTTAGTATCATAATTTTGAAACTGCTATAAAATCATCAAACTTTTGTTATTTTTATGTTTTTTGATTGATTATTAATTTTTCTTGTCTTATGTTACAAAAAAAGATGTTTTTTTTACAGATATCATCAGAGGAAATTAATCAAAATTCATTAAAATGACAGATCTATCAGACTTTAAAAGATGTCAAATGTCTTATCTGGCCACCACAGTCCCCAGATCTCAATATTATTGAAAATTTATGGTGCATTTTAGAAAAAACAAGTAAGGAGTCGATATCCTCCATCATCATCACTGAAATAACTTGAGACTATTTTGGCAGAAGAATGGACAAAAATTCCTCTGAAACCATTCAAACTTTGTACGAATCAATCCCTCGTAGAATTCAAGCTGTAATTACTGCCAAAAGTGGACCTACACCATATTAAAATAAATTTGTTTGAAATTTCCAGGTGTTTCCATTATTTTTTCCAATCCCTGTATATATAGTAGTGACAAATTAATAAGGCATATCGAAATAGTAAAATAACTTCAAACTTTTGACTTAAATTGAATTAATTTATTGAATGTATACGGGGGTCGTTCAAAACATACTAATCCCAACTCAGAAAGAAGAGCTATAGTTGAACATGACTGACGAGGCAGATTTTTCCCGCACTAGGTTGCCATTTCTTTGTTTCGTGACATTTCCTCTTTTGCCAGATTGCCCTGAAGATCTGTTTAGGTGAAACCTAGGTAGGTTGTTCCTGGCTCTTTAGGATTTATTTTATTTATCCCAGCTCTACTTCGTGTATTGAGCACTCTAAGTTTTGGCTTTATTACTCGTTTGTGTTTTTTCTTTGGACTCAAAACTTAAGGCACTGGACGATTTATTTTGCCCTGTTCTGATGTTTCTAGTTCTTTCCTTTTTTTTCCCCAATTTTTTCATTGGGTAACTATTTGTTTTCAAATACTTGCAAGTTGTGCTACCCTAGATTTTTACCAACCGAGTATTACTAAAATAAATAAATAAATAAATAAATAAATATATATATATATATATATTATTTCAAACGTTATTATAATGGGTACTCGTATTCGAAACTGACGCCCCATTTTCATTTTTACTTTAAACTGTGTGTATTAAGTCGGCCTGCACATTCGACAACGCTTAATAAAGAAAATGTGTTCGCCAGCAGGGATCGAACCTGTGCTTCCATTTGTAGGATAAACCACCGTTTGCTGTGCTTCACCCCTTGACTACAGACAGTTCTATTTTCCCTTTTAAAGAATTCACGCTTTCGCACAAAGATATTTTTTTCGAAAGGTCCATATCTACTCAGTTTCATATCTGACTGTGACTTCTATTTCAAATACGAGTATCCATTATATATATCCGATTGACGTAATAAAAAACATCGGATTAAAAATAAATGTACTAATTTTATATATATATATATATATATATATATATATATATATATATATATATATATATATATATATATATATATATATATATATATATATCGTAGGT